ATGTGGTAGGCATCTGACACATCTGAGCTTAGCTAGACATAAGCTAAGACAACATCAGGCACTGTCACTGTTGCAAATTAGCTGCCAATAGAACAGCTAATTTGAACATCATAATTTATGCAAAAATGATCTGTTCTGCCTACATAACGTCATACCTGCTTACTACTCAGAGAAAGTGGAAATCTTGTTAACTGGGCAGGCATTAAAGATCTATACTTTCTGTACTTTATAGCATAGGCCATAAAAAGTATGGAAAAAAGTTAATCTATGTTATCCGTGCTTTCTCTTTGTAAGATTTCAGCGCAGTTCCTTTTGGCACTGGTCAGTTCAATCATTGCCTGAAATAATTCAATATTAGTTTCTCCTGGATGTAATGTGCTCACACTGACTTGATGCAGGAGAGATTGAGGAAAATTGTGGCTCTCTTGTGTCCCAGTTCCTTGTAATTCTTTGGAGTCAGAGAACTGAGATCAATAGTCCATCAGCGTACAAGCTTTAGCACCTTCACAAACTGCTCCCTCAAAGCTTTCAGCCGGGTTAGATGAAATAAAACGTCCCTAGGTTACAGCTGTAAATAGCACCGCAGTTAGTTCCTGATCCGATGGTGCTAAACAAGGTCAATGCAGTCGCATATCGGGCCGTCTTCAAGCTAAAATGGTTTTAACATTGACCAAAAGCTTTAATGTTTGGAATTTATAGCTGCCTGCTCCCTCTCTGATGGTGTTAATGGGTCCACTCTCCCCCTGTACTTCTTCTGACTCTCTCCTCACTGCAGCGTCTCATGGCTCAATAATCTGACTTAACATCACCCTGATGGATGAACAGACGTACAGAGTTTTGAGTTTCTCCGCCAGCTGAAGTTCAGCGCCCCGTGACGCCCACGCCGAGGCCTCCAATTGCCTCCAGACTCTGACACATCATTTCCCCTGTGATTTGTGACAAGGGGGTCGAGGTTGAAGGAGATGAGGAAATTTTCTGTCCTCCTGAGTACAGGAGGTTTTCAGCTCTGCAGGCTGAGCTGAGGGTTGTTTCTATCCCCCCTCCCCACACCTTGGAGAACTCTCCTGCATCACAAGGAATTGGTTTCAAGCCCTGTAATGGAGGCTTGATTATAGGCTATTACACCACATTTTCAGAAAATGACCTGCAGTTTTTTTAATAAAATAAGACAGACTGTCTTTGCACCTTCAGAGAACAGTGCTTTTATATAAAAGCAGGAGACAAAACTGGAAAAAATAGAGAAATACTCCTCATAGGAAACCTGTTATACTCAAATCATCCCATTATGCCACTCTTTCGTGGCATAATGGAATGCTTTGCAGATGTATTCATAGACTTTGAGCTAATTTTGTTTTATTTTTGTCCCATTGCAACCAGAACCTTTAATGTATTTTATTGTAATTTTAAGTGAACAACACATGGTTTATAGTGTTGGATTCAAAGGTAAAGGGTAAAAGTTTTTGGGGTTTTGTTTTTCCAAAGCATGTGCTTTTGTGTGTTTGCTACTTCCCTCACACCACGATTGATACAACCTGTACGACCTGTACGATTTTAACATTTTCCTTCATAAAATTGTTTTTCTGTAACATGAGACTTCATTTTGAGCACAGAGACATACAACCATTCACACATCCAATGGCAACTTTGAAACACCACTCAATCTAAGGAAGCTGGTTTCTATGCAACTTTTTACATTTCAATAAAATGTGCCATCTGCATTTATTCTATCCCTTGGAGAAGCAATGAGCTTCCATTATGCAGCGTCAGGTGAACATTTTTAGACTAAAGGCCGAAACACACCAGACACAAATTTGCTTCTTATCTGATGGAAAATCATATCCTATGAAATTGTTTCAAATACATTTTGTTAAAATGAACAAGAGTAGCCAGACAGCTTGTGATTCTTGCGTAGGTCCTTGTGGCATAGGTTCAACCAGGATAGACCTTATGAAGCAATTTGATGGAAATATCATGAATACGATAGGAGGAGAGCCACTGTGGCAAGGTAAAACACATTAGCTTTGGGGAAAATACAAAATTAAATCTCTGAATCACAAGATAAACCAATCAGGTTCTCCCTGACACATACATATCTGTGCGTATAAAGACAACTGGGCAGACCATCAAACCTTTTGGTCGTAAGATGACAATATGAAAATGAAAAGGCTGAATGTTTTTGCATGGTAATATATATACATCAGCTAAATAGGGGCAGACTTATCAGGCAGGCGTAACAGTCACCATCTTCTCCAGCTTGAACTATGCTGCACCCCAACTGTTTGATCTTCTCTCCATAAAGCAAAGCCTCCACCGCCTCTTCTTTTAGGACGTTTGATATTGGAGTTCAGAGCTTGCAGCCCCTTTTTTCAGCAGGGGTTTCACTGTCTAACTGCATCTGATCCTTTTCTCCATCGGATAACTTCAAAGAAAAACACCTACTAACAAAAAGCTGGGGTTTGCAGTGGTGTGGTCTGTTGGATTAGCGGTTTAGTGCAGTAAAGGGTTTTCAAATAAAACATCTCTCGCTTTGCCGAAATATGTGATCAGCTTTAGGCTCTGAGATTTTGTAGCAATTAGATATTTCTTTACAATATCCTGATTTGTTTGTTGTACTGTGCATTGATCTCCAGTTCTGCTCTGCCAATACCTTCTCCTCTGTGAAACCTTTTCTCCATCACTTATCCATTATTCATCACTCCAGGCTCTTACTGCTGGACCATAATACCCATTACTTTCATATTCTGCTATCCATAAAGTAATGCAGCCCCAGCTGTTGCTTTATTTTGATTCTTAGTTAGAAAGCACATTTTAAACATGGTCCGTAATCCTCTAGTAAAGATTCATTTAAATGCTGTTTCTGATTGACTAACTGATTAATCAATTTATTGTTTGTCCTTTTAAGTTTCATAAAAAGAGGAAAAAAGACATTACTACTTACTTTAAAAATATTGCTCTATTTTAATCGTCCTTGGCAGTTGACCTGCGTCCAAACATACTTGTAGGATGTTCATCATTTTTGAGTATATGTTGAGGAACAAAGGGTGATGGACTGACATCACTCTGCACTGAAAAAGCCCAAAGAGTGAATTGGTGTAAAAAAAAACAGCAAGTTTCACCATGAGTTCTTTGTTGACTTTCTAAACCATTGTTATTCCAAATACTAGTATTCACACATCTCATTTCTTTACCAGGCAAATTTTTGATCTTAGCATTTGCATGTTGATTATAAAATCCAGATATACCCAAGACAGTATTTAGCATCTAGGAAGTCGTAGCATTATATCTCACTGAAATGCATGTGGCTGATAAGACTGCACACAATTCTTTACAATCCTGCTTGCATAGCTTTGGTCAGACCAAAACAGCAATTTACTGACAAATCCATGACTAAGACAGGAAGAGACATATAAAACGCATACATTTTAGGGAAAATAAAAAGTTAAAATGACTAAACCCAAGGTAAATCAACGATGTTCAGCTCCATATATATTTGTCTAGAACCTCAAAATGCACATATAACAAACAGGGAAGATATGGATACATAAATAGAATAAAACAATTCAATAAGCAGTGTACTTACCAACAGTAGGACCCAATCAACAGCAGCTTTATGTTCACTACCCAGCTTGTTAATGCTGGGTGTATTTTTGATACAAACATTGCTGTGAAAACTCGATCTTGTGCGGCTTGTGGAAAGCATTCACATTTTCTACTCAGCTGGTGTGGCAGAAAAAAATGGCTTCAGAGTTTGTCCTGACAGGACAAGTAGGAAACTTCTGGTTTTGTCTCGATGGGTTTCCTTTTATATTTAAAAATCTCCAAGTGTAAGCTGTTGTAAATTCTTGAGCTTACAGTTAATCATGTCAGAACTTATTAAAGAGGTTGTAATATTCCTTGTTAAAATCCTAGAATTTCACTCAGGTGTCGTTTTCTTTTTACTGTAACCACACAACACTTTTATTAAATTATCAACATCCAATCAATCTTCTTAAAGGTAAACTATTGCTGTTATGCCTCTTGTGGCTTGGATATGCAATATTCAGGTGTCTGACCAACATCCGGTCTTGATACTTCTCCAAAGCACATACCCAACTGATAACTTTGAAGAAGCTGAGCTGGCTTTTTGAAAGTATATCTTCTCACTCACATCAGGTGTGAAATGGTGTTCTATAGGGAGCAGTGATTAAGGGGTAATCTCTGCAAATTGACTGCGGGAGGAGGAGAGACCTTTGTAGGCTTGGATTTAAACACAAGATGTAACTCAGAGTCATTAGCCTTGAATCAAAAAAGCAGAGATTGAGTTTAGTACTTTCTTTCAAGTCCCTGCTTTGAAAAACATTCTCTCGCGGGAGCAGAGCTTGTTTCCTCTCAGCCACACATTTTTGATGTGCCTCTTCTCGGATCTATTTTTCATGGCACATACTTTTCCCCAAATGAGTTTTTACTTAAAAGTTAATTAAGATTTTGCATTTTATTATGGTGAAATTAAAAGCTTTAATCTCTAGACTTTGAACTGTTTAAGTGTTATTCTTTTTATAAAGAATTTTCTGTGGTGTGTAATGGTGTATAATAGTGGTAGTTATTCGAAAAGGAAGATGTCTTTAGACATTTTGAGAGGAGGGACTGATGTGCATTGGTAGGAGTAAAAGTATCTGGCATCAGTTATGCATATTCAGACCCTCCTTCTGTTGCACCTCCCTGTACAAATTAAAGGGACTAAATGAGAATCTGGGTAATATTACTGCAACCCTTTCCAATTGCTCATATATCAAAACCCTCCCCCATACATGGCCTTGTTGCATATATATTCCCTTGGTCTTGTGTTACAGAGTATAAAACTTGAAAGCTGCACACTCGGACCTCCGATTTAGTCTTTCTGTGCCAAGGTTCAGATTCCTAATCAGTAAATCACATCATACGTGGACCCCAGATTCATCTGTTACCCTGATTAAAACAGAGGATGATACAGCTTATGCCTAATGCTGTCTTTCCCTTCACAGAGGAAGTCGCTGATTGCCACCAGTCTGATTGTAGCTGTGTCGCTCTTCGTGGTTGTGGTGAACTTCACGGAGAAGCCGTACTTCCTCTTGCAGCCTGTGTTTGGTCAGACGTTCAGCAGCCGCTGGATGTTCTCCAAGCAGTCCTACAAGGCTTTAAAGCCTCACCTGGGCTATGTCAGAATCCCGAAACAAGAGGTGAGAGACAATTCCTTTACAGCAACAACATATGCAATCAAAAACTGCTTAAATGTACTACTCTTTTAAATCAGTCTGTTTAGTATATAATTTTTATGTAACATTTAACCTTAATGCTGAAATTTTGTTGAGCTTCCATGTGCTTCAATGGATTGGGAGAAGGGTTAGGGTAGTGGTATGGGCGTAATGATATGGCGAATGTTTTATTGTACGCATTGCGCCCCTAACTACCAGGGGAATATTGTTAGAACGCCACAGCCTACCCGGGGACTGCTGCCTCTCAAACAATTCCCTGACATTTATGTGTGTAGCCTTCCCTTAGGAAAACTAAAAACAATTTTCAAATATTGGCTGGTCTATAAAAGTACAAATAAATAAAACAAAGACAGAAAAGATCAATAAAAATATTGGTCTCATGTTGGTGCAGTTGATAAATGGTCCTTTAAATTGGTCGATTTGGACATAATCGAAAACCAGGGCTGTCAAAATGAACGCATTAACACAAGATGATTAATTTTCGGAATTAACAATATTTTTTTTTATGCATTAACGGGTTCCCGCCCTGTTTTACCCACACTTCAATTGTCTGATATGATTGAAATGGAGGAGTCAGAAGAACCCTTTGGCCTGCTAGATGGACTGAAAACAAAGATGGAACAGTAAACAAACATGTTGTGGTTGGCTCACACTGCAAGAAGGACTTTTCGTTTCACCAAAGCACCTCAAGCCTTAATTATCCTCTTAACGCCAAGCATTCATTTGTTGGGGCGTCAACTTCAGGTGTTTCGCCTGGCATGCGTCAGACCCTCACCGAGCGCAGGGCATTAAGTAAGTCAAGTACATCCAAGAAGCTGACAGACAAAATCCCAGATAAATAGCCAAGGACTGTTGACCAAACAATATTGTCGAGGAGACAGAAGTTTTGAAAGTTACGACTTTAGACGCCCGCTTCAAGTCACCATTGACAGGCACAGTGATGACTAAAATCAACAAACTTTATGAGGCTAAAAATAAAACAAATGAAGAAGAATTTGGCTTCAACGGAATATGTTGCTTTGACAGGAGACCACTGGACATCCGTGAGTAACAATAAATATCTGGGTGTGACGGCTTGTTCGTTTAAAATGAAAAAATGTTCCATTCACCTATCCTGTATTTGCAACAAAACAAAAAAGTGAAATGGCTAAGTTGCCAAAATCATTGAGAATGAAAGTATTTCTTTGGACACTAAATGTAATGAAATTTAACAGAAAATGTGCATTTTTCAATAATATTTAGGATTGTGTTAAAATAAAATTAATTCAAGAAACCTTAAATTTTTTATCATTTGACAGTTCAATCGAAAACATAACTTTTCGTATGGGTTGGTAACAGATAGGTCTGCTGTTAAATGTCAGGTGGTTCAACATAAGGTATGATTCTCAAACCTGAATGTGAGTACTGATGGTGGAGGAGTCTGATAATCTTACAGTCTTTCTGGACTGCTATTTTACTTTTGTAGATGATGTAAGATGGTGACTAACCAAAGCATTTCTTAAATCATGTGCATGCAGTGTAGGCTCCGGGCAGGACATGTCAGCCATCTTGACTTGATCCCTCCATCATTCTCAGAAAAGGTTAATGTGTTCCCATCAGAAGCCTTTTATGTAAATTAACCTCACTATTAAGAGGTCCTCTCAAGGCCACACAGCCGGTCCGTCCCATTACCTTTCATTTTCTTGCATTGCATCAGTTCAAACACATTAATCTCAGCATGACATTTTGAAACTTTTAGCTTAGTTTGGTCTTGGTCGCAATCTTATTTAAAATATTCCAATTCAGCTTGATGCTCATTTTAGTAAATTAGGTCGCCCATTTTGAGTAAAATGGCCAGTAAAGCAGGGTGTACTTAGGAGGTACAGTCTGAATGACAAGTAGCTGCACAAGCTGCATGCACAGAGCCATGGGTGCTTACTTAGATCCATTTCTCACTTGATGTCCTTCTTGCCTGGTCTGTGGTGTGACAGTTCAACCTTAAGCTTGTTACATAAATGGAAAGAACAGAGAAATTTGTTCTTTGTAATTTGTTTACTTATAGAAAGTGCCATCTGTACTAAAAGAAAACATGATAGCATTGCTTCTACCAGCCAATCCTCAATACCGTCCATTACATAACACTGTACAGGTTTCCCCACCTGAAATAAAGGGAGAATTTCCTACCTGAACACAAAGGAGAAAGTCAACTCTGTTTTTCATACTGACGTCGCTACTATGACTACTAGAATTGAGGTTTTTCACAAGTTCGATTTTCGCTGCCTTACACCGTACCTGGTGCCCTTGGGCAGTGTGTGACACCTGTGGGTGGAACACTGGATAAAATAATATGGCTAAAGTGGCCTGGGTTTGTTAAAGGAAACCGTTATGATGTAATTTAAATATTAAGTCAGAGTTATCAATGAAACTGGATTTATAAATGGAAAGAAAATAACTGTCTAGAATTTGAGCCATGTTCCTGTTGCCACTGTTTAGCATTAAGTGGACTAATTTTCTGTTTCCACTTAAAGCACTGTTATGGATGAGTTTGCTCAAAATCTTCCATTCACACATATTTCATCTTGAATTAGACTCTTATTTATTGTTTATCATCTGGAAAGTTTGGATTAGATCTACAGTCCCACAATTAACCAGTTATTTTTATGCATTGCCATTTAATGTAATGGTATTCCATTACATATTACACCTACTGTGTTGCTATTCATTCATATTTTCAGAGACAGACCATAACGTGATACATCTGAATACTGATTGTATTATTGTTATTATTTCTCTGTGACCCACAATTCCTTGCTCCTCATTCCACCTCTCCTCACTGTGGTGTGAAGGTAAAATAACCTTGGAGGCCTCATCTTGTCTTGTTTTCCTTGATCCAGTTTTTGCAAAACAATATGTTGTCTCCTTTTTCCATAATAGCAGTGAAATAGGCTCAGAGCGTTTTAGATCATCAGTCAAGTTTAATAGGAAATGTCATTATGATTAATTCCAATTCTGTGTGTTGTTTGTACCCTAGGAAATCTGGTAGTTACTAATTACAACCTCCAAGATGTCCAGAATAACTAGAAAAGATAAGAGTATGCAATAAAGGAATAGTAACTTTTGGAGGGTGCAAACAATGTGTGGTGATTCCAATACAACAAACATTCCCTCAAATAAAATTCACTTGATACTGGCAAGTGAGTGTTACTTGATATCGCAGCATTAAATTTTACTTAAATAATTTTTGTGCAAATACTTTTTGATATATATATATTTTAAGTAAATCATATGAGTTGATCTTTTCAGTGTACTAAAGGAGGTTTCTTAGCAGTGATTTCCAAATGTTGTGTTATGGTGTAAATTTTCTCTAAAAGTTATGAACATATATTGAAAACAACATGGTGGAAATGGTCGGCACACATTTTAAAGGTCAAGGGAAAAAGAAATGCTCAGTATGAATCAAGGTTGTTTCCTCCTTTTTTAGAATAAGGTGAAAGCATCTTATTTTAAAAGGAAACTGAAATCTTCTTTCTGCTTCAAGACTTGCTTCTTAAAAACAAAAAATAATAATGTTACCTTCGTATCCTTCAAGCATCTATCGACATAAAACCTTAACTTTTCATCTCAGCTTCACAGAAAAAGATAATGGAATGCAAACACAGGAGCTCCATTAAAGATTTCCTTAATTCATTGTATCCGTATCCCTGCAACGTATCCCAGATTGTCTCGTTTGATGTCTTTTTTGTGTTGTATGTCTTTGTAAACCATAATAACCTTGACAGTGAAGCTGTTCTCCTGCCTTCAAACAGCTCGTGATTATTCTTCCAGCACAATTATGCGAAATGAAATATCAAAGCCTTTTTTTGGTGTTAAATAGCCCCTCAGTAAAATAAAAGACGTGTGCAACAGAAGGTGAAGGAGAATGTGGGTGAAAAACACGAAGCTCCTACTATTTGAAGGCTAGTTTTGAAGTTGCAGAAGACGCTTTGTCCTTCATTAGAAGTGGATGGCCTGCGTTTGGGAAGAAAGGTTGATATTGGCAGATTAATGTGCATCGTCTTCCTCTGCCTCCAGAGACTTTCATCTACAAAACACAGGCCCAGAGGCAATCATGCATTACACCAATCTCTACGTCTGCGCCTCCTCCAGCCTTCAGACGAGCCTGCTTAAATCAACGGCCTCTCCCTGTGGAGATTTAGGGAAGTCATTTGAAAAGGCAGTCAGCTTGTGCAGAATTACGCCTCTGTCTGTCTCTCTCTCCACTCCAGTGAGTTTTTTGCTGTAAACTAGAATGAGCAGTGATAGGCTTGAGCATCTGTTTAGATTGGTCTGCCCCGATAGCTTTTCAGCAACACTATAACAGGCTCCAAAGGCAGGCATCTTTCTCTTGGAAGGTAGACGGTCTTACCTGATACAGCCAGGTGTCATTTCACACACATGTATTATGCATAGCTTGGCAGCAGTGGAAGCTGCCTTAGCTCCCAGCCTTATTTTCCTCATTTGATTGTGTATGTCTGCAGGTGTGATTTATTGTCCCTGTTCTGCTTTCCTAGAGAAATACAAAACATTTGTCGTGCAGAATTTTACATTCATACCTCTGGTCCGTCACATGCTGAGCAGAAACATTTGCATACTGATTACTATGCTTTCGTTTTGGCAAATGACATACATTTTAAAGGGAGCTATTCTGCTTTTTTTAACTTTATTAAATAAAAAATCTTTACATTTCAGGTTGGTAGAACCATCTGTTCAATTATTATTTTTTATTTTTTCCTCCTCAGTGCTCTAATGCTCCTAATTCAAACAAGAGAATGACTGAATTGGGTTGCCCAATCCAAACTCGTTCTCCTAATTAGCAAAGTAATTATTTATTTATTAATGAATTAGTAGAGACTTGACGCCTTTGCTCTGTGAGTTGAATTAAAATCAGGCCTTCAGAATGAGTTAAGACCTTTGAGATTAGAATGAAAGGACAAGCAGACATCTGT